TTTACTTTGTAAGTTATCTAGCTCATGGCAGTTTGAAATTGAAATATTATTAACTAAAGATGTTAAAAGATCTGAGTGAGGTACTGGCAGAAAATAGTTTAAAAAAGAGAAAAGCTCAAAAAAAAGCTAGTATGTCGTCATGAATCATTTTATGTCTGAAAGCAATAGTCTTTCTTTGCTATGCCTTTCTTTTACTTCAAGTTTTCGTCCTGGGCGTGAACTAGCGAGCTTGAAATTCATGAAGTAACCAATATGCTGCTTGGATTACAGTCTAAAAATTTGAAGACTTTCTCTCCTATGGTGACTTCTAATTTGCAGTATAGGACATCATAGGTTTTCGCTGTCATTCTTTAAGAACACTGTACGTCAAATCGATAAAATGAGGGTAGCAAGATGCTTGTTTCCCACAATTCAGGTTTCAGTAGCTTACTCTTCCATTAAAGAAGACAATACAACCTTTTTAGAAAACGTATGTCATTTTGGAAAAGCAAAACCAGGAGGTAAATAATTGAACATATTTAAGTTAAATCTTTTTTAGTCGACAAAAGCACACCAGCCTGTTGTAGACTTCATCCGTCGTTTATTTCACTTGACGGTTTGCCCAGTTTTGGTCTAATCACAGTGAAAATAAAGTTTCTGCGGGCTAATCAATTCAATGTACTTGCTTACGCCAATCGCGCATATCTTTCACCAGATCAACACTTGCTTTTTGCATAAGAAAATTAATGGAGGGCTTAAAAACAGTTAAACCCCCTCTGGCGTGCTGTTTTATCGGTTGAAATGTCCTCAGCTGAGAGATTGTTATGAGAAGTTCATATTTACCCTCAAAGCTTCGTTTCTAGGCCAAATAGGTATATATTTATACAAGAAGGGATAAAACAAGTGCTTTGACAAAGAAAAGGATAAAATCAGGGCATTATTTTTATTATGGACAGATTTTCCAACAAGAAAATTATTTACTAAAGTTGTTACTTGTGGAAGCTCGTCAAAAACTTCCAAACGAGAAACCAAAGAGAACCCCAGGAATCTTTCTAGGGGCTGAGTCTCCTTTTAAACTTCTTCTGAAGAAAAAAAATCGGGGAGCATGTGAGTACAATTACTATACAGTTAAAAGATAATTGGTACAGGAGGTCTCAGTTTGGAAATTGGTCTGGTCTTGTCATCTATTGTACTAGTGTAGTTTAAAGTGTTTATACAGGCCCCCATTTAACCAGCTTTACTGGTTACTTACCAGCTCGATTAGCTGCACTGGGGCAGCCTTTTTCAATGTTGCAAATAATGAGATGGATAAACTGATAAATATATTCAATTATTAATCATTCCTTAATGCACTTATTGTGAGTGATTTGTACCAAGGTCTGGTGCCCTAATGTTTCCGTTTTAGCCATTTCAGGTGTACTCGTGATCATATTGGGCGAATGCCTTGAGGGATTTTTTTCAAAAAGCATGGCTGAAACTGAGTGTTTAGTTTAAATTTAGATACCAACCTGCTGTTATCACCAAGTTCATAAACAAGATGAATTTCATGCCTAAAAGCTTCTAACTGTCCTTATTTGTAAATGGGAGCCTCGAAATTTAAATTAAGGGTAATGGCTGTTTGCTCCATGAGAGGACATCATAATTTCTTATGTTGGAGCGATCTAAGAGGCTGACCACGCGGTTCCAGTTTGAAGTCAAAGGGAAATTCAAAAGCGAATGAACATCACTCAGTTTACATGCTTTCCTTTTTTTTCACAAAAAAAACTTCAGACAAGAGTGTTAAATTCGATTTGCCGATCTTTTTTAGTTTGTAAACTATTGCAGATTGCGAACTTTGATGGTTTGACATTTTTGACAGCTTAAGTCTTGATTAAACAATCAGATTACTTGAACCATTCTAACAAGGATTCTGATTGGCTTATTGTAGCGTGCTTTACGAGAGTATAGAGCATGCTGACGACACCGACACGACACAAAAAAAATGTAAAACGGAAAAACACAATAAAATATAAAAAATTTTAAAAAAAAATTAATAGTAATAAAGAATTTAGAAAAGTTTTAATGATGATGTCATCTATACGTCTGTCCTCCAATAGATCATAAGTGGGAACCAATCAGAATGCGTTCATAACTGAGCATATCATATAAATAGATCATAAGTGGGAACCAATCAGAATGCGTTCATAACTGAGCATATCATATAAATTTCAGTGGACTCGTTTTTGAGTAACAGGAATACAAATCTCAACTAGGTATGAAAGAGTGTTTCTATGACACCTCGTTATGTAAAAAATGATCAAAATTTGTTAAGCAATAATTGGGCTATCCTAGATACTCTTCGCGAAAACAAACGCAAAATTAAGGTAGTGGCGAACAGTCATAGGATAGGTCTTCAAAAATAACGAAACCTCTTACCAACATGGATACCCCATCTTCCGATAAGTTTACCCTTACGGACTGAAATTGGTAACATGCCTACATTTTCCTAAGGCAAAACATGTGTTACATAGCTAGAGCTCGTATTCGTTCGTGGGTAGCTTATCATAAAACCAGCTGGCTTAACTGTTACGATTTATTTAGCAAGTACATTTTTATTGAACTAGTGGTTGTGATACCCCAACATTTATGACTAAATAGAAATATCGAATGCAATACAGGATGATAAAAGACACGACTCCGACTCTCACTGTTATACTTTGTTCTGTATTACTCTTATACTCTTATACTTTGTTCTCTTCTTCTCTTACACTTTGTTCTTCAGAACAAAATAAAAGGCCAGGTTACATCGCTGCCAACATCGATCTGGGAATTAATATATTTGCAAAGTATGATGTATGTCAAAAGTTGAAATTAAATAGAAATGGCTTCACTTTTATTTGGAATTTTCGGTGTTTTACATGGTTAAAATAGGTGATGGTTTAATCTATAAATCCTTTTCAATAAATGTAATTCCACTTTACTCGAAGTTAACCGTTCAATAGTAAAACAGTATTTGTATGCATGGTCACGTTTGGCGATATATTCAGCAAATATTGACTTACAAAAAGCTGTAAAAAGCTTAATCTTTTTAAAAGATTTTTTCCCTTTAATGGGCATGTTTTTGTGGCTGAAATTGTTCAAAATTTAACCTATATGCTAATTTATGATGGATTTTAATGTTACTGTGCCTTTATTTCCTCCATTGCTGAGTCTTTATGGTCTCTGCATGCATGTTCACGTCTGATAGCATTGCGATTGATTTGGATCAGTAAGCTTTTTTTTTATCCTATGTCGTTTTTCTCTAAACCTTACCTTGGAGATTGAGCTCTCGCCACACATCTCCGAAAATGAATTTTAAAATTTCAAAATTTCAAAATTTCAATTTTCGAAAAAATATTAAATTAACCTTTCTCTGTATATCAATCTTATTTTTCAAAATTAACATATATTGTTATATTTAATAGATTTTCTGATAAATTTCTATGCCGTTTTATCAATGGATATTGTAGCAATATCTATTAGAGAGAATACCTTTTGGTGCGATTCACACTTATGGGAGGTATCAAGAGTATAAAGCTTCCTTCTTTTTTCTCACTTCGCAACAATAAGATCTAATGTTTCCAAACAATTTTGGCACATTTTCCATTAAGCACCACGGCAACCTCAGATCGCCGATGGCTTTTCGATTATGGTTACATTTATAAACAACATAACACAATTTCCTCTTTGAAACTTGGCCAATGAGGTAGTTTTTCGCGAAGATCTATACCACAATTAGATTGGTATAAATTACAGACCATCCATATGACACTTAAAAACAAAAGTTATAACATCCATACGCTGCATAGGTAACTTTCCCAGAAAGGTAAGAAAAGTTTTCAAATACCCTTTTCTTTAAAGCTTCAATTTTCTTTTATATTTCTGCTCTAAATTTTCCTGTCTTTTGATTTTGTAACCACAATACTATTGAATTAGCATAAACATCGAAAAAGTAATTTTCAAACGAATAACTTATAGAGAATGCGTCGGAAAGATATTTTTAAGGTGATGTCCTCCGAAGAAAACATGCAATAGTGGAATATAGGATTTTGCTATGGCTGTTCTACGACTTACAACCCGCAAAAAAAATTGGAAGACATTTCGTTCTCGGCCACAAAACGCAAAATTATTACTTGCTCATAAATCGCTTCTTAAATCCCTTTTTCCCCTGAGGCTCGACGTAAAGATTTATAGTCTCACAAATTCGACGCAGGTTTTATAATTTCCTCCACATTCTGGAAAACGTTCCGTCAGCCCCATTATATGGAAGGGGATATTTTACTTCTCCTTTCTTGTGGGTCCAGCGTACTTGATGGAAATTTGAGTAAAAGGCTATAAGCCAAGATAAACGCTGTGAGCATGGATTATTTACGCCCATTACTCCCGTAGGTGCTTGTGCTAGCGTTATTTAACGATGCCAAGGTTTTCCGTGGCATTGATAATGAAAATATGGGAAACAATGAGCTTATTTTAGCGCTAGCATCATTGGGCTGCATGCATGTTCCCTGTTTCGTAGTTAGAATTTCATGTTTTTGAATCTGTTAAGTCAAAATCGTAGAAAGCCACAAAATATGGCTAATTTTTCCAAGTAATTGCAAGTGTTAGGATTTCCAACTGTCGCTAAAATTGCGAACACTTTGTACACTTTTTGTCTGCTTGATGAGCGGATTGGAAAACTAAAGGTAAACAAAATATTGAATGGCACCGAACGACAGTTGTGATCATGTACTTCTGTTAAATGACTAAATTGTGAGCATCAAGGTTAGAAGGCAAGGAGGTAGCTAAGAATTGTAAAAAATAATTATAAAAAATGGCAATTTTTTCCAATTGATACTCAAATTTATTCTGTGGCTCAATTTACTCTTACAAAAGTAATTTCTGGTTCTCGATCGGCCGAGGTAGTAGTTAATGAAGTATGTTTCAAAATTCAAAATGTTGGTGAAGGGGTGTTCAGAATTTGAATAAAAATGTTGCAGTAATGTTTGTTTTAATGTCATTTTGTCAGCTTGGATTGATCGAGTATGGAAACCTCAGATATGGTTCATTGGAAGACAAATAATCAAGGTAAAAAATGCAAATAGATGGGAGGAGCATTACCTATTGTAGACCACTGTGTATGACGAAGCACTGCTAGGATGGGTTTTTTTAAAAGAAGACTCAGGTGACAGAGGGTTTGGGTGTAAATTTTCCCCCTAGTTTTAGAGCTCTGACGAAATATTTTTATCGTAGTTATAGTTTGGTTTCTTTACTTTTTCCTCTTACCAAGATTCAAATTTCAGAGCGTTACTCTTGTATGGAATTTATACAGGTGTAATTTTTAATTCTTGATTAGTTCTGGAATTTACCTTAACCCTTTAACTCCTATAAGTGACCAAGACAGAATTTCTCCCCACAATATCAATACAATATAAAGCAGACAAGTGATGAGAATAAAGAAAAATATTAGTTAGAAGATTATTAGTTGATCCCATACCAAATTCTCAAAACTAAAATCACAAGAACTGTATGGCAGACAGTAAGGAGAATTACGAATGAGGTCTTGAGAGTTAAAGGGTTAAGTGGGTATAGGAGAGGAGGAGAAGGGGGGTGAAGGCAACAGCAGCTGCATGTTACATTGTGTCACAGAAAAGTCAAGACATTTCATTATCAGGATTTCAAATGACACTTTTCACGAAATGCACAATTTGAGTAATTCTTCACTTGTTGGAATTTCCATATTAGGAATCTTTTGCGTTGGTCTTTGGTAAAACGTCTGCGATTCGTTTGCAACCGTAGCTTGCATCGTTTTAGTGTGCCAAACCTCCTTACTGGGATTATGACAAATGGCACATTTCACATCTGCTGTTTATTCTTTTTTTCACAATTTAATAGCGTGGGAGTTGAGATTTTTTTTTATGCTAACACTTTATTTTGTCTCAGCACTGAAAGATGGTCGCCGATCTTACGAGTGAGACGTTCTGAGTACCGTCTGTTTTGAATTAGATTTCCTCCAAAAGTTCTTTCAGTGCGACTTGGTTGATCAAATACTGAAGGCTTGCCAATTTTCAACGTTTCTTTTTATCGTTCTACGATTGTTCTTTTTGTATTATAGTATCAAGCCATAATGGTGAGATACTTTTTCCCTTTCTTTCAATAGGAAACACTACAAGCCCTCCGCTTTCAACCAGCCAATCAGTGGTGCTTGCCAGTTTGGCATCAGTCTATTTCATAATCGTATTTGCTTCCATATTTGGCAACTCCGTGATCATCCACATCATCCGTACGGGTCACTCTTTGAAAACCACCACCAATTACCTTATCCTCAATCAAGCATGCGCAGACTTGATCATTACGTTCACTGTAATGTTAAGCATGCTAGGTGATAACCTATTTCAAAGAAGGTGGTTCGGCGGAGACTGGGGATTACCTATGTGCAGGCTACTGGTGTGGTTTCATTTTCCAGCGGAGTACTGTTCGATCTGGAGCCTCGTTGCCATAGCCGTTGACCGCTATTATGCAGTGGCTCGCCCTTTGCAGTTTTCCCCTTTATCTCACCATACAAGGCTGGTAGTTTCCTTGATTTGGGTGTGGTCTCTGTCTTCAGCAGCTGGAACGATTTCTATGGCCAAACTTATCTTCGTGGAGGGAACTGGCCACTTTTGTGTCGTGGATTATTCTCATGTTGAGCTGTCCGCAGCGAACGTTGTAAGCATCTGCGTGTTGCTGTTTAACTTTGTCGTTCCTCTTTTGGCCATGGCGGTACTCTATTCAATTGTGTGTTCTCGTTTGTTGTCTCGAGAAGTGCCTGGCGATGAAGCTGGTCACAGTGCAAGGCACGCAGAAGCCATGAAGACAGCAAAGAAAGTTAACCGAATGATGATCATCGTTGTTGTTTCATTTACTCTATGTTGGTTTCCTTTTTTCATATTTGTTGGTTTGGACAGTTTGCATAAGATTGAAATTCCATATGCAGCACTCAAATTTGTGGTGTGGTTGGCAAACGCTTATAGTGCAATTAATCCTTACATCTACTTGTCATTTAGCGATAAATTTCGAAAGGAATTTATGATTATTCTGAACAAATGTCGGAGCAGTTTTAGCTGTGGGTAAGAATCTTTTATCCTGCTAGCTACTGTCCTGTACCAATAAAATGGCATGGCTGGTATCGTCACTTTTTGCTTCTTTCTTATCTATGACTTTGGGTTTGTGCTTGGAAGCGTACAAATCAAAGAAATTGAAAAATTTTGACTCGTGTATAGCGAATGTACTACTTAAGGTACCTTATATCACCACAGAGGCGTAGATTGAGTTTCTATCTCAGTGCAATAATTTCTTTAGCTGTTTTCATAACGATAACGATTATTATGATAAAAACAGTAATGATAATCTTGATAATGATAATAATAATAGCAATGATAAAAATGAGAATATGAAAGCGATCTTCGCAGTGGTGAACACTACTTGAGCAGTAGTGAAAAGAAGGCCTGAAATGAAAATTCAGGCCTGTACGGGATTTAAACCCATGACCTCTGCAATACCGGTACAGCGCTCTACTAACTGAGCCAACCAATCAACTAGGAGCTGGTCATTATGTTAGTTCCAAATAAACCTGTGAAGGGATGAATAAACAACTGTGAATATATGATGACATGATGAAAATAATGATAGTTAAAATTATGATTTTCTTTATTTAATCTCAGTGATGACGCATAGATAACAAACTTATAGTTTGATCGAGCCAAATATGCAATTTCAATACCACTGTAATATTTTGTAAATAAAAAAATTCAAGGTTTAGTTTTAAGATATATTTAAAGAGCATCAACCCTTATGCCTTCCTATTCCGCTATCCCCAAATTTATGTCAGAGAACGTACACTGTGGGTGTTGGAGTACAAATATGCTACGAAAAGCTAATATATGAACAGAAGTACTAACACTAATTTTAATTACACCTTATTTCGTTTGTTTAACATATAATACACGCAGATATATTGCGAATTCCGTAATATTTTTTTTCCGAGCCCTGTAGGAACATGGAAAATGCGAGCAATAGATAAAATATCCACTCACATGGTGTGTAGATTATAATAGCTACAATTTAACTGACAACCGACTTTTTTATGGTGGATAAGGAAACCACAAAAGTTTAGCGATACATTTTCTTTCCCTATCACCATGAAGAAATCGAGCGTTTGCTTCGATCTGTTACACACTGGCTCTGTCCACCCAGAATCACAATGAGTACCGACGAACTAACGTATCGCGAATTATTGATTTTCTATGAAATTAAAACATCCATCTCTTGACAAAAGGTTTTTTCAAGATTCTGCTAGTGTCATGTAACTATTGAACGAAAAAAATTACTGTTACGTTAAACACTTCAGCCGTCAGACGATCTCATGGTTGCGTCGCGTAGCAAGTGTAGCTATGGTAATTATCACTTATTAAAGAAATACTACTTCCATTCGCTATGCTGGCCAATGAATATGTTCTGCAACTTTTACATATAAATAAAACCGTGGTTTGAGTAGCAAGGCAAAGCAGATACTCATTGATATGTCACGACAGGTGCAACTACAGATCGCTCTTCTCCAGCTGGTAAGAACGAAATGTTTTCAAAAAGATTTTACTGCCGGACTAGGTGTTTCTGCTTTTTCAATTTCGGCTGTATCTTGATTTATAACCAGATCTCAACGTTTTTGAAATCTGTTTATGATACTGTTTAATAAGTCATTCACTCATGGATAAAATGAAGCGAGTTTTACTCGATAATGGTAACTATCTTGGTGAAGTCTGAACTCTGTTTAAGTCCGATTGCCAAAATAGAAAAAGAGGAAAAAAAACAGTCAGAATTCATGTAGTATGTAGTAAAAGACAACGCGCTTCAACTGGATCTAACAAGTATTGCTTGATTGAAATTCATTAATTAAAAACATGTTAATCTGACTTTGGACTTTTTGTTGTAAGGAATCATGCTCAGTTATCTTTAAGATAAAGACATTCCACCTCTGTTTTGTTACACCCACGAAGAATTAGTTTTTTTGAGATTGAACTGAAACGTTATATTCCTCTCTGCCTGAGGGGTAGGCGTCCGCTAATAGCATTTTTGGCAAATTTCTAACAAAAACCCTAATTAGTAAATACTTAGAGCATGGCGTTTTCGGGAATTGTCATATAGATATAAAGTTACAAGTCCAGTACATTTCCTGTGGTTGCTTATTATGCATGCCATTTCCCACGATGTCAATAACGAACATGTGGTAAACACTGTACGATAGACTTTGTCACATGCAGTTGTGTGTTCTTCGTCGATCTGTGGTCTACCTACCTGCCACTATCGCGTTCTTCTGCCTCAGAGACATCTCTTTTTATCGTCCCTGGTCACTCGAAGCCTCAAGAAATTAGTCTGTTAAGGTTTTTCGTTTCAAAATTTAGAACAAAGAAAAACAGAGCTTAACCCTCAAAAGATAAAAATGTAAGTTTATACAGTACTTTGAAGAAATGAATTTATAGTTAGCTAAAATTAAGAAAAGAAAGAAAAAGATTTGAAGGTCTCTCCAGTGCAGTTTTGAACAACAGAAAATCGGAGCTTTGATCAACGGTATATCTATTTTTACTTATTGTGTAAGTCTACTTTCTGAGTATGCAAAACATGACATTGAATTGATGTTTCAGAATTTCATATTGAGTATTGTTGGGTATTATTTGCTTTGTATCATTTCATTTTCCGAGCCGAGGTTTCATTGATCATGGAAACTCCATCTATTGTGCCTAAGAAAAATAGCGGTGGAAGTAAGAAAGAGTGTATAGATAATTAGACTTTTTAAAGCAAGTAAGCAAGACTTTCACACCTGGTACGACGTTTTTGCCAAATTGAATCCACCTTGTTAAAATGTGATAAACAGCACGTACGATTTTCACAGTCAGAGACAAGTGATAATTACTAAATCTTAGGCATGTGTAGAAGTCAACGAGTGAAATGTACATTTTTTTCAGCAGGACTTTCAATTTTCTTATAGTCAGAAAATTCGATGCAATGAATATCAGCGACTAATTAGAGCTCCAAAGAATCTGTTACTGAGGCTATAAAACACACAAATTAAAACGATATCCCCACGAAGCCTTACGCACACTGCAAGCTTGTAGAAATAGCTTTATTCCGCAAGTGGATCCTAATTTACAACGTTGAATTTAGAAACTTGGCAACAATATGAGTCAATAAAACAAATGGCCCGCATCTGCCAAACAACGTATTTAACGCCTCTTCAGATGCAATCGTTTGAAAGCTGACGTCTTTTTATACAAATGCTATCTCTTTTCGAGGAAAGGAAATATGGCTGAAATAAGTGTGTGGTTGAGATAACCATAGGTTAATGGTACGAGATACACTGATACACTGATACACTTAAGCAGAGGTTTTGAAATTTTAAAGCAAGCTGACATACTTGCAATTTTCGTAACTTGTGAGAAATTGCTAGATTATCGATATTCTTAAGCTAGTGCTTCAGAGTGATGTGGCTAAAACCGAGCGTCTTTTTCAGTTCGCTTATTTGCTGATTAGTTTCTCTCTCTGATTGGTTTCGCCTTTGTTTGTTTGCTTCTTGTTTGTCACTGACTTAATTAATTCTCTTGTTCGCATAGGAAACACGACAAGCCCTCCGATCTCTGCCAACGATTCAGTGATAATGACCAGTTTGACATCAGTCTACTTTGTTACTATATTCGCTTCCATATTTTGCAACTCCATGATCATCCTCATAATCCGTACAAGACACTTCTTAACATCCGTCACCAACTACCTCATCCTCAATCAAGCATATGCAAACTTGATCATCACGTTTACCATAATGTTGGGCATGTTGGGGGATGACCTATTCTTCAAGAAATGGTTTGGTGGAGACTGAGGACTACATTTGTGTAGGCCGCTGGTGTGGCTAAATTTCCCAGCGGAATACTGTTCCATTTGGAGCCTCGTTGCCATTGCCTTTGACCGCTATTTTGCAGGGGCCCGTCCGTTACATTTGTCTTCCGTATTGCTCCATATTACGTTTGTCGTTACTGTGATTTGGTAGTGGTCTATCTTTTCTGTAGCTGGCATGATTTCCATGGCAAAACAAGTTTTCGTGGAAGGAACTGGCTACGTTTTGCGTTATTGACTTTTCCCAGTTGTCCGCAAGCAACATATCAGGCTTCTGTGTTTTGGTGTTCAATTTCTCCGTGCCCGTTTTGGCCATGACGGTTTTGCATTCAATCGTGTGCTCACGTTTGTTGTCTCGAGAAGTGCCTTGAGATGAAGCTGGTCAGAATGCGAGGCACGCGGAAGCCGCAAAGACAGCAAAAAAGATTACCTTGATGATCATTGTTGTTGTTTTGTTTACTTTGTGTTGGTGTCCTTTCTTTGTCTTTGTCGGTTTGAACAGTGTACATAAGATTGTATTGCAGTACGCTGCATTTAAGTTTATTGTGTGGTTGGCAAATGCCTACAGTGCAATTAACCCCTTCATTTACCTGTTGTTTGATGAGAAGTTTCGAAATTAACTTAAGATTATCATGGAAAAATGCCGTACGAAATTCAGATGTTAAGATAACGTTCTGATATTTTGAGATTTTTTTTTTGAATTTTCATGATTCGTGGAAAGCAAGCCACTTGTTGAATCCCTTTTTCTTTCGTTATTTTGTTATTTATGTATTTAACTCTTTTTCGTTTAGGGGAAGGTCATCCTGTAGTGGGCACCCAAGAAAAACAAAGAACACATTTGAAGTTATGTACCGCCAGTCTATGGTAAATGTGCTGTGTATGTTTTAATGCGACACAACCTGCATTCGTGAATTCGCTACGCTTTGCTTGCCCCTCGTTGATATATTCTTTTTTAACATCCCCTTTTGGTTTGAAAATGCATTCATATTGCAAGGAGAAATTCCTTTCCTTAGGTCCTTAAAGTGAAAACGGTAAGAGAAATTCAACTTACGGAGGTTTTCCTCAAAAGGTGTGGCACTTTGTAAAAATTGATATATTTGACTTTAGCTCCCGAATGCAGAGAGGGTAGCGTTCCAGTCAAAATGGGTTCTCTTAAAAGTCATTAATGTTAGTTTTATTTCCCATCATAATAAACGATTTACCATAACATTTGCTTCTACATGTGTAATGTAAATGTCATATTTCACAATGAATTAACCTCGTCCAAATAGGCGTCAATATGACGTAAATCTACAATTAACAATATTTAATACGTAGTTTTCCAGGTTTTCTGGGGCAATTACATAGCCTTAGAAATATTAGAATCGTTTCTACTGGAATTTGCTTTTTGCTCGCAGCCCCAAATATCTTGGTTAAATTTCAAAGAAAAAGTCAAAAGTAGGACGCCAGATCACCGGGAGTAACCCATTTTCATTTCAACGTCCAGCGGTTAGTGTAATAAGTCGATACGTTTTAAGCATCGACTCGTAGTTATTAAACATAAATCTACAAAGTACATATCACACACGGCGTTGCAGAAACCAAAATCCTTGGAAATAATAGCAGTAGTATAATAATAATAATAATAATAATAATAATAATAATAATAATAATAATAGAGAACATTACAGTTTGAATTACTTTTATAAGCAGAAATATTAAATTTCGGTTCGCAAAAGAGATTTCTGCAGCATACGCAGCAATTACTTTACGATTTTTAAGTCAGGAAAATTTTGCAAATTGATCGCATCGTGTTAAAGAGCGTTCACGTCAAGATTTCACTGGTAAATTTTATGCGGGCAGTTTTGTTTTCCAGGATAACCACTGTCTGCAATTCTCTCACTTTCACAGTGAAAACAGACTAAAATTGGACATCAGTTTTATCCCAAGAAGAGTAGCAATAGTTCTCATGACAACTATGCCGTGAGCGTTCACCTTGTCACTGGAACGCCCAGCCCACCATCACCTGTCATAGCGCTGTAGTAGCATCCAAAGTTATTTGTAATTTCCATGGGTCCTACAAAAGCACTACGTCCCTCCAAAAGACGAAAGAATAAATCAAAACTGCACAAATCCATATTGTAACAACTGATTGCTGCAACCGAGACCCACCTGAAAACAAAATAAAGAACATTCATTGCAAGCATACTATTTTCAGGCTTATATAGGAACTTGGAATGAAACCTCATTGACATATTTAAATAAAGGAACTAAATGCTACGGAATTTTAAGGCTTACAGAATTTACTTCAAATTGAAAGAATTGAGCTGGGATGCGCGGCTGGAAAATAAACACTGGAAAATATTACAAAGCTAAACGAGAGAATCGCTCACCATTTCCACTGATTGTTTGGGGAGTGGGTTCATCGTATACGACAGACGGTCTCGGTTTACGACACTTTATACAGAGCTTTGAGCAGCAAGACGGGTTACATTCTGGTATGTCCAACGGTTCCTCCACATATGTCCCTCGGGTACCATTGCTAATAAACCATTCAGAAAAGGCTTTATATGGTGTCTTCCCTTTAAAAAAATGTGATAAATGACAAAAGACTCAATGAAGGGCAATGATTCCTTCGAGGTTCTGTTTCTTTTAAGTGACATTTAAGCGGTCTCATTCCCAGAGTTCCATGCGGCGCACTGACTACAATCCCCCCCCCCGACTTTTGGACTTCGCCGAAAAGGGAGGACTGCACAGAGTCTCGATTACACACTGCCGAAAAGAGAAGCCAAATCGGCCAAACAAGCCTGTCCAGTGACGTTATCATTGTACATGTGCTAGACCCCATATTTTCGTTTGGCTTTTTTTTTTTCCCCGCAAGGTTTGCTGGTGTTTCCTTTTTTTTTTTTTTTTTTTTTTTTTTTTTTTAAGAAACGAATATTATAAAAACAGAATTCAATTGGCCCAGCCCACTTTGAGCTCGATAATGAAATGGAGAGATATATGTACGTACGCGTATTGACGCTTTCAACATTTAGTTAATTCATGACCCTAGCATTCTGGCGGACACATGTCACTAATGAACCTGGTTATGGTCGAGCTTACACTTCCCTCTCACGGTGTCTCTCTCTACCCAGGAGTATAAATGGGTACCAGCGAATTGTCAGGGAAGCCTAAAGAAATGCCAGGGGAGAGAGAGTTTACTTGCCATGGACTAGTATCCCGTAGGGGTGGGGGAATTGACACGCTAAGGAAACCACGATAAGCTGGATGGGCCACTTGGCTCGGGTGCACACTTTCACGACCGTGAAATAGATTACGTTTAGAGAGCAGAAAGTCATTATTTATTTCACTGAAACTTACCATCTATTTCACAAGCCAATGTTTGCTTTGTACTAGTTAAATTATCGCCAGAAAACGAATGCATAAAACAAGCTGGGGAAAAAACGCCATCCTTCTGGCTGTTAATAACCTATAATAGGAGAGAGAAGAAATTCAACGTAAAACTGCAAGTCTCACGGTGATCACCCTTTGTTTTAAATTGCACCAAGGCATGTCACACAAGTGGTTGTCAAATCCTGCTGGATAATTTCAAGCGAACATCACTGGTTAGTAAACAATGAAGCTTAAAAACTATTATACAAACTGTTGCGTCATTGCAAAAGCATTGCTGCCAATGAAAACTGCCCACCCGTCTAAGAGATCTGTGCGTGTTTTTCCCGAACTTTCCAAGGTATTCTGCTTCGCTTGGTAGCTCCGGTGGAAGTCTCATAGTAGGAAACTTGGAATGAACAAGTTCTTGCAATTGGTAGGAGTCCCACTGAGCCACAAACACGTACACAGGGGCTGATAAATGCTTGAAAACTAAAATGAAGTAAATGAAAAAAAATCAAAGAAATTATTCATTTTTGCTTATCCCATCATCTCCGACATCTCACATGTCCACTCACGTGAGTTTTTGACGTTCGTACTTAGGCTCTCTCGATTTTCGTGGCGGGCGCGTTTCTTTTCCCGCGCACGATTCGAACCGGATCACATGAGTGGACATGTTTGTTCTTTGCCCGTTTTACTTTCGCTCTTTGTGGAAAGAAAAATCTGCCAAGCGGGAAGAAATCAAAAGGAAATTTTTGTTGAACCTGTAAATGACGAATTCTCAGATGAAGCTTTTCCTATCTGGAATTCACAGGTAAGCTCTCACATAGAGGGGCCACCCGAATGACAAGATTTAGATTCCACCAAGTCGCTGAGAGTATTGCCTCTTTTTAATTTATATTCTTGTTCGTTTATTTTTTTTCTTATTTAACAAAAAGGTAAAAAAAATATTTTCTGTGCATGATGTAACAACCTTGTCTGATACAGCTTCGACTCAATTGTTTCAAAACAAGAAGCTTTCTTACCTAATTCTCCATAGAGACAAGCTTCTGCCTTGGGCATATTAGCTCTACAAGTCTCGTCGACAAAGCCATCCCACAAATTGTGAAACATCTACAGAAAAACGCAAATAATGTCACACTGAATTTATATTAACACTGGGGTGCAACGAATGAGAGATAGAAACCAACGGTACCTGACAAAGAAAGGAACAAACTTCTTCCATGTAATATTTATGATTCACATTTTAACCTCAACTCAAAGATCTGAGGAAGAATTCTCCCTTCTAGCTAATATACATTTTCTTGTTAGCAATTTTTTAAAATTTGGTGTTATATAAAATTCTAGCTTTATATCTTTGATCTCTTACTGGATTTTGTATTGGTGCAGCATCAGTCACTTCTGAAGTTTCAATTGGTCACACATTTTGAAGAAAATTCAGTTAAAGTATAATACTATATACACTGTACATACATAGCTTAAGACTTGAAAGAAAAAAGGTGGCCCTGCATTTGCTGTTTCACCAAAGTTAGGATACAGAGTAAACCAGCCACCATCATTATATCCTCTAATCTGAAAAGGAAATGAAATAATAAAAGTTGACAAAACCTTGTTTCTGGACACTGGGTAACCTTTTGTTGCCAAAAGACAAATCCATGGTCTCACCTGGCCTCATTCACTTCTGGGTCCAAGATGGCTTAAGACCATTTAATTTAAAATAATAATTAATTAATATTATTCAATGATGGAACCTAACTCATTAAGGTGGTTTTCAATAGGACACTATTTTGCAACCAATATTTGGAATTATGTAATTTTATTAAAATGTTAGATTGTAACTGACAAACAACAACACAGCGGAATAGGGTAAAGAATAAAGTTCATGTCTTAAAAATCATAAATACAAAATTAAATATTGGATTAAACAATCCAATTTCAGTCTGACAATTCCCCAATCTCCAACACACCTTACTTCAAAATGGAGGAAAATAAGTTGTTCTTTATTCTCATGGTTCATTTTGGTTCTCTCTTGGTTCTCTTAACCTCATTCCAAGCTAAATACATTTTTGCATTCAGAGGATGAGCTTAAGGAATAGAATGCCAGTTATAATAAAAGTATATGAAAATTTTCACCACTTTGCAGTAAGGTCTGTGCCCAATTAACACTTTGAAGGCAGACAGACAAGCCAGAAGTACAACTAAAGCAATGAACTTATCAAAGATTTTCCTTCCATACCTCAGCAGGTTTTACAAGCCCCTCAATATAGTCAATATTTGCAAACATTCCAAGCCCACCAGAAGAAGCACCACCAAACAAAATCTGTGAAAAACCATCACATTGTATATCAGTGGTAAGCAAAGTGGTATGTGCTGTATGTTAATCTTAATATGTCAGCATCAACCCTTCAACCTTTAACACCGTAACATTGATATGCCGATAAGAGAATTTGTTTCATAATCAAGAGCTAGCTCCTTTAGTTGGTCATTACTTTGTTTATTATGTGATTTGGGATTGATATTGTCAGGAGAAATTAGATGCTGGTCACTCTTGGAGGTCAAAAGGTCAAGCACTTGGCAACAATTGTGAATACAGTATTGGGTTGTAAGTTATGTTAGTTACTGCATAATTTATTTTGGTGTCTTGTTCTGCCACACTGGAAAAACAAAGCTATTGTTAAACAATCACAACAGACAGTGAGATTTAACCTGTTGAAAAGGTTTTTAAAGTGTGTACAACTATAATCATGCCATGCCAAGAAGGAAGTTAGAGCAATCACTATTCTCACTTTAATCCTCAATTGTAATGTATTAAACTCAGATGTGTAGTACCATGAACTTAAAACAAACCATACCTCTGTTCCTGGTTTGTTAATCCGGTAATCTTCAATTAGCTGAAAAAATATGGCTTTAACTATGAAATGTCCACACATATCCATGTCATAATCATTCTGGTCTTTTCCTCTTCTACCAACAAATACATCACCACTAGAAACAAAAGAGAAAAAACATTCTTCAACACACCAAGATTAAAAAGAAGGCTTTTCTAATACCACAAGTTCATTTAATGGATAGTGGGATCATCTACATTTAAGCAAGTTTAGTCAAGAAAGTGACTACTGTATGCATAACTGACAGACAATTTTGTAACCCAGATCATGTTATCACCTTACATGGATGATCACTTCCACTCAGGATGTCAAAATGCCAGCCACTGTCACAAACAATACTACCTTTCAGGTATACCCTTCTTTAAAAATGACACTACACACTGCATATATATTAAAATTTCAAAAAGGTTAAAATCAATGTAAAAGCATTGCTGTGCAGAAGCCTTGTATACTCAAGGGTAAGATGATTGGTTATGATAATTGCTATTTACCATCACAATACTCCAGCCACATACAAATATATAGTGACAACCAACCTAACACATGAGCTAACTTTGGTCAGAAGTAAATTTGGTTGACAAAAACAAGTTAGATGTGTGAAAAACTGAACATTGGACATTTCGCCCAAAAACTTTTTGCACAAGTCTTTTAACACAAGTTTTGGACTGTTTGCACAATTATTAGTGGTCATTTTGCACAATAATTATAAGTGAGAAACATCAATATAAAAGGTATACTAATCTAGATTTCTTTATTTGTTTTGATCTTGGGCTTATGTGTCATTACTTATCGAATGGCTAGCATATAATTTTTGAATTGTTTTGAATTCTTGAAACTTTTGTGAAATCATTTGTTTATATCACGGTCGCTATGATGCTTATCAATCGATACTGAACTCTCCATCACTTAGGTAATTGTTATCAGAATAATTTGAAAGGTTACTACTTGATAGATGTATTAAACTTTACAATCTTTAAAAAGATTACAGATCGAACTTGTCTTTCTACAAGATCACTAGTTTCTAACTACACTGACACATTCAAGTTTGTAGTGGATGATGTACTGAAAAAACTGAAAAACTCAAAACTGAAAGGTTTTTCATTTTACAAAGGAAAAGTTATTGAAGTAGTTGTTCGAATAGGGAGTTCTTTACATTTTCATAGAGAGAGAGATTTGTACCTTTCCATTCTTCAAGTAAGAATAGTGATCGTGTTCACAAGCATTTCAATCTAGTTGAAGTTATTATGTAAATAAATGTCTACGTTCTTGCCGTTGGATCTTGTGAAGGTGAAATGTCTTATTTGTATCAATCAGTATACCTTTTATATTGATGTTTCTCCCTTATAATTATTGTGCAAAATGACCCCCAAGAATTGTGCAAACAGTCCAAAACTTGTGCCAGAAGACTTGTGTGAAAAGTCATTTGTGCGAAATGTCCAGTTACCAAAAAACTTCACCATAATAAAGAGGCAATTTAAAATTTTTAAAATTGTCACAGCTTGCAACACCATATAGTTGACCTTTTTCCTCTTTGCTTTTTATTTTTTGTGTATTGTACTAAGTTGAAAAAGGGGTGGGTATTACCTGCAATATGGCACAAATACTTTATTCCACGATGAAAACATAGGATTTTCCTGTGGGTCATCAGAAGCAACAAAAGTCCCTGTCAAATAATCACTGTAGTTTCTTGATGAGCCCAGAGGGCCTCTGGATCTATGCAAACACGATTCGTATGTCCCACAAGAGCCTCCTTCTTGCAACTGTACAACCCAGTACTTTGAATCTGAATTACGACTCAGGTAAAAGACTGCTTCAGAACCATCTAAAATGAATAACAATCAGTTAACAAAAGGTTTTCTAAATAAATAACTTAAGTTACCAGACAGTTCGCATCTTGGCATAAGCATGGTCCATTACTTTGGGTGGACACTATGTAATGAGACTTAAAGTCACTGTTAAGCCACATAAAAACCCTGCATTTAACTTTTTCATGGATACCTTCTCATGGTGAACACAGACAAAAGGGCAACTGTTTTCAAGACAGGCTTGGCTGTTATCAAGGCCAATGTGAGCATAAGTTGAAATAAGTTTTAAATCTCCTTCTACATGTAACCAAAACCACCATAATCACAACAGTCAATTTAAGATTGATATCATGAGGATCAAGTAACTGCTCAGAGTAACCAAATGTTCATGAGCTATAGAGAAAGCAAAAATAACTGAGTTGACATTTTTTTCAGTTGAATATTTCAATGGTTGAGATAATGTTGCAGTCTTCTATAACAAAAGCTGTAGAGCACAACCAGTAACAAACTGATATATTACAGAATCTCATTTGAAAATCACGTTTTGCTTTTTGTACAACTTCCTAGCCTTCCTTCCCATGTGCAACATATTACACAAAATCACACTTTTATTATGTCAATTCACAAATTGTTTCATTGAAACATTGGAGGAAATAATTGAGGCATACACTGTAAAAATGGGAATAATCACAACACATTGCCTCACAACATCACAACACAACACATATTACACAAAATCACACTTTTATTATGTCAATTCACAAATTGTTTCATTGAAACATTGGAGGAAATAATTGAGGCATACACTGTAAAAATGGGAATAATCACAACACATTGCCTGTGAATAAACCTAGTGCCTTATGATAATAGCTGTGAGTCTTAAGCACAAAAAATTAAATTTTGATTAAAAGATTACCTTATCACCTAGCCAACAGATGGCAATGAGAAAAAAAGAGAGATTAAAAAAAAAGATAATTCAAACAAAGCAATAATTTGTAGTAATAAAACTTGGCTAAAAAACCACTAAATATTCATCTGATGAATATCATTTAAAGTGATTGCCTGGTTAAGAAAATCAGAAAAATCCCTTCAAACTCTGAACAAAGTTTGGTTCAAAAAGGTTAATATAGAAAATGCATAGCATGTTGAGCGAATCAGCAATTTGTGAATTCTTGGTCAGCAGTCAGAGAGTCTGGAGTCAATATGGGAAATTGATTGGATTTCCAGATTTGAATATACGAGCCACATCTGATAACAGCCAAGGATATATACATGACTTTTCAAGCTGTTTTTTAATACGATTGATTGACCACAATAAACTTTTTATGCCATTGGCTATAGACAAAAAAAAGCCGAAAAAATGTTAATTTCCACCAGTGCATTGATCTTCACGCTAATGTTTTGAATTGAATAGTATGTAGGACTTGTATGTATTTAAAAGTTTGTTTACCCGGTGATTTCGTAAAAAATCCATTATCCTAACAGCCGCAAATTGACAACACAACTTAAAAGTACTTAAAAACCATCAAAGAACGAATTCCGACAATTTGCAACTTTCGCGGCAGACGAGACAGATATAAACAGAAGCGCAAGTGAGGGAGTTCCTGAAGTCTATCAGAAAGGTTAACTGTTGGTTATACTTTGACAGCAATTTGGGCCTTGACTGTTTCGTCCAATTCAGGAAGGCAAAAAAACATCCAGCGACAACGAGTCAAAACATCGGCAAAACATGCGGATGTTTTTCATCTTCAAAGTTTCACCGCGCATGCATACATAAGTAGGAAAATAACAAATAGATCAGCTGTAAATCCAAGCGGATGACACTTTAGACGGCAGTGAAGCGTTAAACCTACAAAATAGAAATACCAAAGATTGCGCGCTTGTTCTCACACCAAGAGCGCAATACATCTGATATATTTTTCGAATTAACGCAAATATCAAAACCGCGGATACGGCCTTGCCGAAGCACTTTTCTTTCAAGATGAAAACAGTTTACTTTACCCATTATTGCTCCGCCGCAAAATAACACAGAGTGGCCCCTAAGGGCATCCTTGGTTACAAACGCTCTTTCAGTTGTATAACAACGAGTCAAACTGCAAAGTATCGACGAAAAACGCTTAAAACCATTGGATTAAAATTACTATCAAAGAGATCGTCGCTGCACAAGTTGAAATCCGAGCCCGAGGTGAAAGATCAGTAAAAGCGCACATACTGAAATCAGCTGCGTAATTCAGTTCTAAGAAGCCTAAATCCACCACAATGAAATAACTCATTTAACGGTCTTACCTAAGCATAAAGCATTTCTGTTCTTCGCATCTCGAATAGGCGTCCGTTTCAAATTGTATGTGTGCTTTCTCCTCACCCGTCGACGACTTGACTCCCGTCGCGCTCGTGGCTGAATATTTGGTAAACTGTCTTTCAAGCTATTGAGTTTGAAGGGTCTCCCGTGCGGCTGTAGACTGCTTACAAATCCGAAATCCTGCAATCCACCGACGAAGCATGCGATCATCAACCAAAGAGTAAGCACCAGCCTTTGGCACCACATCGCTGTATTCGTGTTTTCCGAGGCGAAATCTCGGTCCTTTCGCTCTGCGCTGGGCAAACCTTCCCGCAGGCTCTAAGAAGTTCTGGTTACTTGCTCGTTGCTAATCGCCGATTCGCAATGTCTCCACGGAAGGATTTCTGTGGTTTTGAAGAGGTTTAACAGCAAGGTTAAGAGATTTAGAACACCAAATCGATTTTAAGAGTGCTTTAAGTCTGCATAATATTTGAGACAATAAGCGGGTTTGCTTTCCACGGCCACATGTGTACTTCATTTAGCTCAAGACGGTGATTCGCATCGTTTTTGATTGCTTTGTACGCGCCAGATAGACAGCATATCGTGTCACGAAGTTAAAACACCTTTTGACATGTTTGCGAGTTCGATCTAAGGGTAGAGGTGAAATCTAAGCCATGCACTGTCTTCATAACTGATTACACATGTTTCTTATAACTGTAAACACAAGAACGAAGGCTCTTCAAAGCGTGACGTCAGCCGGGTTCATTTAATTGCTAATTATTATCCATTGTCGATAATGATAGATAATTGCCAATGAAAGGACACGACACATCGCCAAACAACACCTGAGAGGGTTACAATACTTGTAGCGTAAATTTGTCGGTTCATATAATGACTTGATATACTTGCCAGGAAGTAGCTCGTTAAAGAAGTTTGGAACATAGAATTCATGCAGGATAAATTCGAGAAAGGGTAAAAAATTCAAGAAGGGCAAATCTGACATCGAGTACAACAAAAATAAAGAAGATATTAGTGAAGATGCACGGAATTTTATTACCTCTTCGAGATATCTCATCAATTGCCACTTGACGGATAAATAGATGAAGACGAAATATTTATGTTTGTTCAGTTTTGTTTATCGTTTTGTTTCAGCTTTTCAGTTAGCACGAAAGTAATTTTTCGGATTTTGTTGTGTTCTCCAAAAGGTTTCCCCTTGAGGTTTTTTTTTTGTTTTCCCTCACCTGTTGGTTGGTTTTTGAGTGATATCTATTGTAAGAGTGTAGACAGTAGCATCACGGTTGCACACCGGCGATTTAGTGAAATGAATGTCTTTTCGAGACCTTATGGATATCGAGAAAGAAAAGTCTTTAAAAAGAATCGAAAAAAAAGAGAGAGAGAGAGAGTAAGAGAGACACTGACAATTCTCCGCCAATAACTAATTTCGCCACGAAGCTTGACACTTAGAATGAGCTCATAGATAGCATAAACAGTGCATGCAGTTTTCGATGGGATACTTCAATTTCTCTCTCGAAAACTATCAGAATATCATCGCACTAAGGAGGATACCATTAAAGAAGGGTGATTTAGTGGAAAGGTAAATTCAGTTTTGTAAAGAGGTCTATGTAAAGTAGAGTGACTTGCCGTAGTGGTCCCTACGTATCCGATTCGAAAATTATATGCCAACCATCATGTGTTGGACACAGCTCATCGGCCTGGGTATTACTTCAGTTTATGAGGCTACTCTGTCATTTGTTTTGGCCTTTGACAATAATATCAGTCGGACTTTGGCACTGGGAAACACCGGTACAGTTTTAAGTATTTTAATTGATACCGATACTATTGCAGTCAAATTGCATCTAATTTTGTAAGCATCTTGACAAAGTTTCATGCATTTGCATTCCACTAAATTTGCTAAGAGTTCCCTTCAGCACACTCTGGTGTAAACCCATGGTAAGGGTTCTAAAACTGCAGCTGAATAAATATGGTTGATGGCCGTCGTCTTGAAACAGAAGAACTCTATGTTAACAAAAATTGTCATGAAGATGAATTCCCAACTATGGCCCCTACTGAGAGGCAAGGGCTTCAACCCACATAAATCTTTTGTCTCAAATACCTCTAGCTGTGCGGTAATTGCAGGCGCATGTAGGAGATCCATTTCTCACCTTTGTAGATCTCTATCTCCCATAAAGTGGTATTTTTCATCCAAAGCTAATCTCGTTGTTTCAGTGCGGATGATATACTACCATAGCTGGCCACAGAACGACCAAAAAACAGTGTTGGTGAAATTTCCATATCACTATTTTAGACAGCTCAAATTTCACCCCTCAAAACTTCGAATCGTAGTCCGTGTCTCTCGTTCGATTATCAGAGACAGGCGGCGCCAAGGGCTCGACAAGTGCTTAAACAAATGTTTGCCATATCAGGAACTTTCTTATTGGCCACGGAGTCCGTATGTATTAGAACCAACCTCTTTTAACAGAGACATCACCCCGAGTCCTTCGATTGCAAAGGAACGCTCCGGCTGAGTCCTCAATGGTGTTTACCCCATCCACCCTGTATCAGTCATAAAGTTGAAGAATTTCATGCGTTTTCTGAGATCACGCCCGCAAGGAAATAATTATATTTTTACGTGCACCTCGTCGATGAATTCCATATGTGTCTCGAGATGTTATTTTAGACCTAAAAGATTAATGAAGCTCTTAAGCGTAGTCGAGAAAAACTGATTACATCTTGAAACCATTTGTCAAACTTTGTGGCAAATTTCAAACGTCACAGGTCTTTTGTTGTGGCAATAAATAAGTCAGTTTACCGTACGTTTCCTTTTCACTTGACAAATGCAATTGAAGGCTTAATGACTTTCTGTCGTTTCAAGCTCTGTCATCCTTATTGCCTTTCTGTGTTTGATTTGTTTTTCCTGTGTAAAAACCTAATATTTTCCTGTTTTGACGATCTCAATGTCAGCGAAGAACAACCTCTAAAATTTTCATTCAGAAGACTCTCGATATTTCATGATCCTGTAATCTAGTTTTACTTCTAGGTCTTAATCTAATTTGCTTCTAAATCAACGAGACTTTGCATTCGTCGCCCTTCGAAAAAGTAAACAAATAAAAATGACTAGACCTTTGATAAAATGTAAAACTATGAGCAGAGGTAAATTCATCAAATGAATAATCAAGTGGATTGTAATTAGCATCTAAGACGCACTCTATCTCGGCTTGCATGGGCGACTTGTATTCCAAAATTCAACAATCTCCTTATTTCATGATGCCCCTCCAAAGTTTCACTGATTGCGCTTTAATTAACAAAAAGATGTTAGGATATACAGAGGATGACTATAAGGTTCAAATACCACAACTGTTTAGATGTTGGCAAAAAAATCTAACAGGTCATTAAGGTACACGAAGACTGCTCGAATGAAGTGATTCTCGACGACAATTAGTCTCGAGTGGGTGTCATCCAGTCGGTACAGACTTGAACATACGAAGTTCGGATAGAAGTTCTTCAGAGGTCAGTTTGTTTCATGGACATTATTTAAGCGTCAACCGAAGCGCGCAGTTAGTCCTAAATTTAGCACGGTTGTATAAATACTTACTGATCGCAATATTTAATTGTATTTTGGCGTGAAGGTCGAGCGAATTTAAATAAATTTGTTCAAGTGTCTTCTTTGCATTACAAATTCAGACCCCTCTTTGTCTTCAACGAGGTGATCGTGGCTGGCCTTTCGAGTGCCTGTAATCAGATGTGTTTCGTTTCTATCTTATTTGACTACCGCACTTGAAAGGTCTTGAAACACTTACCTTAAGTTCACGAACCAACTGCGTGACTCTACAATGCAATAAAACCACTTCAGTCGCTGTCACTGTTGAAAAGGGACTTGTTTTCAACACGTTTAGGCGATAGAACATAACGCTATTTCACGATTAATAAACTCACCTCTCCTTCACACAAAGACAAACTGAAAACGACGTTGAATGCCACTCTGACTTTATCGGTCGCTCAAGGAAAACATTCAAATGCAAATAGAGTAAACACACTTCATATGAATCTTGGAGCCCTATTCATATTTCATTGGTTGGCGGGCTTCTATGCCCTCGGGTCAAGGCATTCTCGTAATTGCAAAAAAAATAACATTAAACTACGGCGTAAAGAGGAAACGGAAAAGTAGCAGGCCCAATAAAGAATCTAAATTTATGTTCCAAAATCAAAGGAGGTAAACAACGGTAGCGAATATCTCTATAAATATGAGTTCTTGGCTCGAGGACAAACAGGTATTTTTCAAGCTCTCTGTTTGAGCCGTGTTAATAAGTCTCCAAACAATACTGAAATGGCAAAAACATATTCAGGGGTGGCGGACCGTTATCTATTTTATTGGATCTCGACGGGGAGCGCAGGAAAACTCAACTTTTTCAATAAAAAGAATTAATCAAAGGCTACAAAAACATTTGTAATCAACTTTTCACAATATCGAAGAATTGTTTCCCTTAAAACCGCAAGCCATCAAAAATCCATCGATGCTTGATACCACAAATTCTTTTCTCATTGCTGATATGTTATCTTTTGTTTAAGTCTATTGCTCAATATAAATCCACAACAATGTCACTTGATGTACATCTTACAGCACGAAATCCACATATCATTTGACCTAGTCTGCACAAGGCAAATAGCGATGTTTGTACAATAATCGCTTAGAAGAGAGGAAGTTAGCTGGAGGGAACAGTTATGTTGATATTCCAGCTACTTTAGGCAGTTCAAAAAATGATATTTCATAGTGCTCTGAGGTTGGATAAGATTAAAAGCAAACTTTCTATGTCTGATAACTTGGAAGAGGTCAAACTATTTTAGCCTTAATGTAGCATGCTGTTAAAGCAGGTAAAAGAGTTAATTAATGCTTTTAAAATTGTGAAACGTAAAAGTCAACCATATTCTTTTAAGGGTTCCTCAAAGAAAAGTCCATCCGAGCTGTTCAAAGGAAAAGCATTTAGAAACTCAAAAGGTCAACGTTCTTTTCGTATCCATTGACTCTCGGTTCTTGTCGAAAATAACGAGATTAGCGCAGTTAATATGACTGGAAAAATTTCAAGATTAGACTAGGGAATCAATTTTTCAGAAATAAATTGAAATCCATTGTTGTTTGGTCTATAACTCAATCTGTTTCCGTTTGTCGTCGAATATCTCTCTCACCTGTTAAATTGAAAAGTCGTCAATAAAATGCTCCGATCCACCTGAAACTAACAGTTTCTATGGAGGTTTGGTCAATCTTGGCTTGGAAGCCTTCATTAGAAGTGATAATAAGTAAATGAGTGAATGAATGTAACTTTCTCGTCGTACTCCCGAATTATTAGACCAAATTAAAAATCTTACGACAAAGTTCATATCTCTATCTTAGTCCTCCGGTCGACAAAATTCGTACCCTTTCAAACAACTCTAGCCTGATTAGGGGGCCCCTTTTGGGCAGAGAATCCTCCTACAATCAATAATTTATGACCTGGGAAGTGCCCCTTCCCTCTCCCCCGATGAACTAGTAGAGAAACTGTCAATAGGAACTTGAATATAAAATTACAGATCACTTTGTCGTCGTTCAATTCCTGAGTCGCTTCGGGTACGCTCTATCATACATGTAAAGCGTTCTTTGGTAGGTCAACTCTCCCCGCGTAAATCAGGTAAGAAAACGAAATCAGTAAACAATTAGGCTAACATCAAAAAATCAAATCCAT